TGCTACGAACTCCGTCTCTGGAAAAACGAAAGCCTTCTGCGGGGCCCAAGGTAGCTGCGTGAGGTCCGAGGTGCGAATGATATGCAGACGAGGTTGATATTTGTGCATACTGGCGAGCACAATCTGCGTAAGCAAATGGACGAGTTTTTTCATAAGGGGAATCGGTACATTTAAGTACATACGTATATATGTACATATGAATGTGTGAATGTGTGTACATTAGGATGGTCCTTAGTTATATGGAGAAAAAAAGTGTTTGGAATCTCGGTCTCACCCCCTAGAAATGTGCGAATAGCCTAAAGCCTAAACTATACAAAGTTTTAGGTCAATCAGACAAGATTTAGAGGTGGCTCAAAGCGCTAAAAGTTTCCAATGTATTTCATATGGCGAAAAAACTAATTTTCGTAAAAATTGTATAGAAACCTTGAAAGCAATATTTTACAATCGGAGACTTCAAAAAATACTACCCAATTGGTTATTTAAAATTTGTTTAATAATACGATTTTTTATGGGTCCCCCCCATTGCATTTTTTAAGGGTTTTTGGGGAACCATAAAAAATTGTTAATACTAATAAACTTTTAAATAAACAATTCGTTATTTTTTCTGGAAGTCTCCTGAAGAGAAAAAGAGTTGGCCGATTGAAAACTATTGCTTTTCAAGGATTCTATACACTTTCTACGAAAAATAGTTTTTTGCGCCATATAAAATATGTAGATGGGCACTGTGAGCCACCTCTAAACCTTTTTTTGTTTGATTGACCTAAAACTCTGTATAGTTTAGTCTTTAGGCTATTCACACATTTCTAGGGGGTGAAGCCGAAAATCCGAGCTCTTTTCGAAAAAAAGGGCCACCCTAATGCACATTTGTATGTATTTACTTACATGTCCATTGCTGTCCAGGGTGTTGTTGGTGAGTTTGACTTTGTTGAAAATTATAGCCTGAGACTGCCAGTGAGCGCCAGTGGCTGGACTATCGGGATGTAAAAACATACGCTGAGGGCTTTGAGGCTCAGCTCCTCCGGCGGGTATCCAGTGTGAACCAGAAAATTTGTATCGGCAATCGCCGATGGGAACCATTTCCAGCAAAACACAATAATTGGAGTCATCTTCCAGCTCAGAGACCGAAACACGCATGGAGGGAAACATTCGTCTGAAATGCATCGATAAAATAGAAGGACAATTTATTAGATAAATTCAAAGAAAAATTAGCAACTAATCAACAAGTATTTATCTAAGTGCATAATGTATGTATGTACATACATATGTACGTATTTATTTATATATGTATTGAAAAAGTGGCAAAGCGATAAATCAAATTCAACTTTCAGCACTCGAAAAAGCCACAAAATGTAGGCGTAGCGTGTGTGATTTGTGGTTCTTTAGGTAGGTACTCACACGACGACGTCACGGCTCCACTAACTGCCGACGACGAGTGGCTCGGACAGGTTAACAAGTGTGTAATTATGACATGGCAGAAGGCAGCAAGCAGCAAGCAGCCCGTCGGACAACAAAAACAAGCCTTCCATGAAACAAAAGTTCCAAATTAGAATCGGCAACGCAAGGGCACTGTGCGTCATAAAGTAGAACAGCAGGGAGTACAATGAATTGGCGCCGTGAAATTTCATTTAAATTGTACGGGTGGCACTGCAGCGAAAAAACGATGCGTCGTCGACACAGGGTACGCCACAGACGATCACAGCTTTTCATACATACATATAGGCATGTATCCCAGGCCAATTGGTGCACAGCGACATGCTGCATAAATGTGGAGTAGTTTGTTACCAAAACAAACAGAACATGATTAATTGATTTTGACTTGTTGCGAGGCTTGCGTTACGAGAGAATTAATGATGCTGCAAAGAGGCCAATATTGGGCTAGCTCATGGCGATCGCACAACCAGAGCAACTGAGGAGGCTGTTGGTCCACTGGTTATTAGACTGTCGTTAGTCTTCAGTACCGATACCCAATTTGCCACTGAGCCAGGATAAGTTCGAATCGATATCGGTCGGGTGAAGTCGTTTGGGCGAACTCGAAACGACGTCGTTTTTTCCATACAAACAGCAACGTCGTTCCGACGTCGTTTTTTCCCATCGAAGTCGTTACGACGTCGGTTTGGTGAAGTCGTCTAGGTAAACTCGAAACGACGTCAAATCGAATTCATTTTTTCACAAAAAATTTGTACTCTAACAGCCAATTTCACGAACGAGCAATTTAAGTGAAAAATGATTTTGATTTTTTGAATTTTATATGGATATTGACAGAAATTAAAAAATCAGTTTCCATTTAAATTGATTTTGAAATCGGTTGTAAGGACCACTAAAATTTAGTGAGTGAAATAAAACTGCTTTATATTTTAATTTTTAGGAATGCTTATTGAGTTGTTTTTTTAAATTTTACACACAATTTTAAATTGGATTTGTACGGTTTTTGTTAAAGATTCTGAGCATCGCGCCAGCGAGTTCGCCGGCGAACATATTGTTCACCAGAACGAGTCGTTTGGCAAATTGGGTATACGTATGTAAATAAATCGTACATATATACATACATACATATAATGTATAAACATTTATGTATTTAGGCATATTTGTTTACTTCGCATATATGTTTGTACATACATTTGTATCTATGTAAATAAAAACGTACATACATACATACTACACAGCGTAGATATTTATGTATGTACATATGTACTTATCTATGTACATATGTATGTATGTATATGCAAATTTTGTAATGCGACTTCTGAGAAATCAACGGCTACCTTTAATCCCTACCGAGATTTCTAGGGAGCTCACCCGACATCGAAGCGAGAACGTCTACGAGTATGCTGACTGCTTGGCGCATGCTTACTTACTTCAATCGGCCACAAATGGGCAAGTGTACTCGTGCAATGTATGTACATACAATTTCCACATAAAAAATGTGTAATCGAAATATGAACATACTTAATTACGTTAATATAATGAGGCACCCTATGTAGACATGATTGTCACGGCAGCTACACATAATTTTCGAAAGACATTGTTCACCATTGTCTATTGTCGGAAAGTGTGAAATCTCAGGTAGGTGGGTATGTGCGTTTGTCAAAGGCCATTGGGATACATACATACTAGACTCCTGCGCAATTCCATTTAAACGGCCCAACAA